TCTTACAATAATAATTTCCATTGAGTATTCAGATATGCAATCAAGGAACAGAGAATATATCTATTTAAGTGAGAAATTGATAGAAGTGAGGAGTTATCTGAAATAAAATATCTTTTAAATTACATAATTCTTTTCCTTCGTGCAAACAACTCTTCATACCAAATAATATTTTTTGCTGATTTTATTAACAATGAACTGACATTTACATTAAAATGCTAACATGAAGTCAAGTATTTTTTTTTAGCATGCGAGTTTTATTTGTTAAGCGTAACTTTGATTCTTTCTACATGAGTTCACCATTATATTACGCAATTAAGCATTTATTTAGAAATCCAAGTATTGGTGTTGGGTCTCCTCCCACATCTCACCCCTTGGGTTCTTATATATTCAACTTGGTTTTAAAGTTGTCTTTGAGTTTCTCCAGGAAAGTTTTCTTGAAATAGTGGCAGAAGAAATGTGTGACATGGGCTTCTCATATCTGCTTCTGCATTCAATATATTGTGGTAGCATATGTCATATATAGTATTTATCTGGAAAACTCCACTGTAAGCTTATGAGAGTAAAAAAGGCAAACAAATATATTATGAAAAGAGTTTTGGTTTTATGGACCCCTTGATAGGGTCTGGGTCTCACAAGTGTCAACAGACCACACTGGTTTAGAGCAGTGATCTTCAAATTTTTAGATAAGAAAACATACCCTCCAGAATTTGAATTTAACAATTTATTTACAAGTTTTTTAAATGCATTAATTACTAATAATCATTAAATAAAAAGCATATAACATTATTTATAATAGTAAGAACTCACATTATGATAGATATGCTTTAGTACATTAAAAAATTTTTCTTTAAAATTTTGTAATACATAGATTTGAAGTTTTGGTTCTAAATTCAGGGTTGATTTTAATTATTAGAAAAGATATATTATTTGCTACATTAACCAAATCACGATACTAGTTTTTAATCCCATTATCTAGTTATGCAATTTGTTTTTTAAATTTGGCTAATAAATATGTATCTCCTTTAATTTCAACAGTTTGTTTTTACAAATTAATTGAGATATTTTGTTTTTATACTAATGGGGTCAAAACTGACTAAAACTCTTCATTTGAAAACAATTTCAAAAAAGATTAGTATATTCTATTTTAAAGTTTTAATATTACACAGATATCAGAGTTTTATAGGTAGGGCACCAATATAAAATTTAATAACATCACAATGGAAACAATCTCAAATGTCCATTTATAAAATGCTCTCTCCCAACACAGCAGCAAGCCTGGATTACTTTGGGAGCTGAGTGTTGAATGAATGAATGAATGAATGAATATATGAAACAGACTTCTTAATAAAAATAGTCTATCATAAAGAGATTTACTGAAAAGACAGCCGGGTTCTCAGAGCTGGCACAACATTCCCTATGTCCCATTTCAGCTGGACACAAGTTCTATATGAGTGACCTCAGGCAACTGAGAGGCTTTCTTGTGACGAAGATACCAGAAAGCAGTCAGAAAACAGACACCTGGAAAACTCATAGAAGCGTGACTTAAAATGTGGGTGTGTTCCTCTGTGTTCTGGGGAAACAAAGACAGTCAGCCCCGTGCAACTACTAGACTTTAGATGCATTTTGAACTATTTTGCTGGTGAATTAAAGAGAAGAAGACAAATTTATGTGAGGAGGAAGCAATCAACGATGTCACATGGAAACTCAGCTTGAAATAGTATGAAAAATATGTAAAGGGACAAGAAATAGAAAAAAAGGATGGAGGAAAGCAGTGTCAACCTGTTGGGATAGTAACTCCCTACGGGTTTCCATCATACAATCATCCACAGGCAAAAAAGACCAAGAAAATAAATAAACGTGAAAGCACACCATATTTGCAAAGAGATTGCATTTATTGAAAGAAGTATTTAGGGATCAAAAGGAAGCTTTCATTGCATTTTAAAAGATATTCTTTATGATCTTGCACAATGGAACCAGAGAAAGATGACAGCTGTAGTTTTTTCATGATATCTCAGATTTAGATTTTTGCTATTTTGAGGAGACAAGATGAGATGAACAAGACCAGCAGCAAAATTCATGTTTCACAGAGGGACAAATCTGATGGGCTTACAGGCTCTAGAATTTTTCAGTAGAATCCACATGGCCAATATCTTCCATAGCAAGATGGGCGGTAGCAGCCATATCCGTAGCCACCATAGCCACGATAGCCACAGCCATAGCCACAGCCAAGCCCACCATAGCCATAGCCCCCACAGTAGTTGCCGTAGTACACCATGGTGTCAGGAGTGGATGGTTCAAGTGAGGAAGAGGAAGATAGTTTCCTGAGTTTGAATATCACCGTCTTCACAAGGTCTTTTATACTCCCTCAGTAGTAGCTGTGGCAAGTCACAGGCAACGTTGCCATCGTTACAAATTATTTTGCACTAACCACAAACAACACCAACAGCAAAGCTCTCATAAATCTCTCATTTCATTAGGCATAGTGAAGCCTTCATAGCCAAGATTACTCTGCTGTTGTGTCAAGATTTTCACAATCAAATCATGTGCCTTGAATGGCAGCTTTTTGACTTGGCTTTGAAGCCCTTCCTCATTGAAGGCTCAGATTTAAATTCCATAATGAGATCCTATGAAATCACAGAAACTACGCAAACTGCAATTGATGCAGATTGTTTTGGCTTTAAAAATACCCTCAAACTCATCTGCCCATTGAGGAAGTTACTCTGTTTAGCTTTGGGGAAATAGACATGCTATGGGGCAAGGTTAACTTAAATTATGAGTTGTGTAATATTGCCCAATATTTCTTCATAGATAAAACAACTCATTTTATTTTAAATACATAATTCGGGTAACATTTTTAGAAGATACAATTTTACAAGTGTACGAATACACTTTATTTTTCATATTTTACCAAATTCTATCCTGACTCATCATTTCCACTGGATGGCAAAATATTCTTGTCCCTTCCAGGTAAACTCAGCAAAATTCAATGATGTTCTTAAAATTCAATTGTGTGAAAGGTTTCGCCACTCCTTCTTCTCCTCCTAAGGTGGACTTTAATGTGCAGTGATATTCTGTTGATTGCAATGGAGCCCCTTCATCTGTCTTGTACTGACATCTGTGGTTGGTATGGTGCATATTGGCATTTTCCATTGCCATAACCAAAAACTCCTCTGGCCTGTCCACTAGTTACTACTCAGCGCTACATCTTTGTGTCTCTGGCTGTATAGCCAAAAAGTCTTTCATCGTGCTAGGGAAATCAATGAGTTTCCACTCAGATCCATCTGGGTGGGCACCAATTGTTGCATTCTCTACCTACCTGTGTTATGTTTGTTCAGTAACTCACAGGATTTGCTCCTTCTCAGGAAAATCAGAGTGTCTCTTTCTCTACATTTAGAGGCACAGCTTTAATGTAGGGTTTCTCTTCCTTTCAGCTTCAATGACACTAGGCCCCCAAATGAGGACTTAATCATGCCTGAGTTCTCTTGTTCAACTCATCAACTCTCCATTAAAGCTTATATCCAGGAAAACAGTTATAGGATGAAATAAATAATAATAGCAAACATTATTCTACTACTCATTATTTGCCAGACACTGTTCTAAGTGCTTGAAACATATTAGATAATTTGACTCTCAAAATTGTTTTGTGGGGTAGGTATTATTATTACCATCTCATTTGCAGATGGGGTAACTGAGGCACATAGTGGTGGTGACACAGCTATAAGTGAGAGAGGTAAGATTTGAACCCAGAGAGCTGATTTCAGAAGTTTTATCTATTATGCTCTACTGACTTTTATAAAGTCATCGTACTAAGAACGTAAGTTTAGAGAGCGATTTCACTTAGTCATTGAATTTGGCTCTGAGCCTCATTGCATAAAAAATAATAAAATTGGCCGTTAATAATATGTTCCTTATAGTTCAAGATATTTTACCAAGAACTCCTTGTTTGTTGTGAAAATCTACTAGTACCATGAAACATATCTTTGGCAGTATTATTGTTTTAAATAAATAAATGTCCGCATTCACCTTTGAGTCAAAAAATAAATACTGAAATTTAAAGAAAACTCTTTCATGAAAGTGCAATTTTATAAACGAAATGAAATCACATCATTTATATTTTCTGGCTGTTGATTTAGGATATAAATTTGAAACCATGGAAAAGATATTTGGTGTATTAAAAATAGAACCCTAAAAGGAAATATTAATGTAAGTGAGAGAGAAAAGTTCAGTTTTCTCAGGCCTGGTGTTCCAGAATTTCAAACTCTTGGCTTTTGGTCAATAGTCTCATGAAGCTGAGTGATACATTTTGGCTTTTCTTGTAAAATATCTCTCAAGTGAAAATGAGGAGAATCTCTAAAGGAAAAAGTGGGTATGGAGCAGCAGAGAAGAGATGGAGAAGCTAAAGGTTAAAGTAGATTATGATGGCTTGTTCAATGTCAGCCAAAAAAAGGTAAAATAATTGGTTGTTTGAAGTAGGTCAGAATGTCTACTTAAAAATGCTCTTTCTTGCCATAAAGACTGGTTACAAATGGGTCATTTGAAGATCTTGTATGACTGGGGTTTTGAAGATGAGACAGTTTTTTTTTTTTTTTTTTGTGAGGAGGAGTAGCCCTGAGCTAACATCTATGCCCATCTTCCTCCACTTTATATGGGACACCGCCACAGCATGGCTTACCAAGTGGTGCATCAGTGCATGCCCGGGATCCGAACCTGTGAACCCCAGGCCGCCAAAGCGGAGTGCGCTCACTTAACCGCTTGCGCCACCGGGTCAGCCGCGAGACAGTTGATTTTTATTAATAACTCACAAATGATTCAGTTGTGACTAAACAATAGCAAATGTCCTCAATGCCCCTGAGGCTAGACCTTAAAACCAAGAGTCAACAAATTACTCAGATTGGTCCTACAAGTTAGCCAATAGCTTGACTTGTATGGTGGTTCCCACTCGCATTAAGGGCATATAAAAGGCCCTCTTCAGGGAAATTGTCCAACCTGAAGTCATCTACTCTCTTTCTTTTCCCAAGCACAACCTCAACAACCAACACCATGTGTAGCTACTACAGAAACTACTATGGGGACCAGGGCTATGGATGCTGTGGCTATGGAGGCCTGGGCTATGGCTGTGGCTCCTGCTATGGCTGTGGGTTCCGCAGACTGGGCTGTGGCTATGGCTGTGGCTATGGCTGTGGCTATGGGTATGGGTCCCCCTCTCTCTGTGGCTATAGATATGGATATGGGTCCCCCCTCTCTGTGGCTATGGATGCGGCTCTGGCTATGGTTACTACTATTGAAGACGCCATGGGAGACTCTCATGCTTTACACCTGGACTTTGGGATTCACCAATCTGAACCCCACATGTCCTGAGCTTTATGATTGGGTGACAACTATCTTACACCACAAGTTTTTGATGTGATTTTGCTGAAGACTTGCCTTCTGATGCCTTCCGGATCTGATACTCCAAACTTTTCCTTTCCTGAATTTAACTCATGAGAAGAGGAAGAATGTGAAATTCATCCTGTGAACTCCTGTGTGGTCTTTCATAGGGATTTTCTGTTAGAGATCTTGCATTTTGATTTTGATACAGGGTCTTTTTTTCTGTTTTTCTAGTAAACTTATTCAGTCTGCTATAACAATCCTGATTTTCTTTTCATTTAATACTCAGTACTTATCATTTTAGCTTTTTTTATTGTTTGCATTAAAGGAAATAATCACCTTATTTAAGGGATATCTTCTTTTTATGTTTCTAATTCAATTGCTCTACCAAATCCTTGATATGTGACATAAAGAAAGTAACAATCTTTGTAGCCGTCAGTTTTCCACTCTGGTTAAGCAATAATGATACATGTTATTTTGGGTTATTGTTAAGATAAACAAAATAATATTTGTCAATTTAGTTAAGCATTACCTGAAAACACTATATATTCCAAGTGCTTTTACATTGAAACTTTCATCTACATGAAATTCTTTAGAAGATATGAGTGTTGACTCATAATTCCTGATTCTAATCTTTGATTTGGGTGTGTTTAAGCAAGAACTGTTCCTTATGCTTGTCTAGAGGTAGAGAAGTTCAAATCTACCTGGCCTGTCTCCATCTAACTTTTACACGTCTTGCTATGGTTTACAAATTTGTTTTTAAAAGGTGACATTTCTAAAACCCATTAGGTATTTATATCTAGAGCCATTTCATGGCATTCTACATTCTTATTTGTCCTGAGATATTTCTTTCTTGTGATTTGCGTGGTTTCACAGTTGTATTGCAATTACTTGCCTTTCCACTAATTTTCTGTGACTCATATATTTGTAAACTTGGCAATTATCTTTTCTTGAAATGGGATTTCTAGATCTTGGGCGTGAATGAGTTTAAGTGCTGTATTTAGTTTAAAGTAATGAATGTGCCCCAATTCATGTCCACAGATTCACAGTTTAAAATTGTTAACCTCACAAGAAGGAATTAAGATCCCCCAAAAGATCAAACTCCCAAAGAGACCATTTTTTTCCTCAAAGTATGCCTTATGAGGACTTGTCTTCCTATTTACTTTCTTCTTGAAACTTAAAATTTTTGTTTAATATGAAGTGGAAATTGGATTATCTATGCTTACACATCTCAAAAAATAGTGGATTTTAAAACTCTTTTGGCTTTCTTGGTAAGCCATAATAGCTGGACACAAGCAACGCCTTAGATATAGACTCACAAGCCAAGACTGTTGTTGATTATGATTTCCCAAGATCAGCCCCTGGCACGTGTTTTAATGTTACCTAAAATTGATTAACATTCTTAGCAGCGCTAACATATTGAGTCTGCTGTTAAGTACCACCATTATCATCGCCAAATGAACATCCATTTGTACTCACATTGTTTTATTCACTTTGAAATCTTCAAATTATGAACATCTCAATTGAAATTGAAATATGCAGGATTCTTTCACACTTTATCTTGTTCCTTATTTGTGTCTCTCTTATCCTACAGTGAAAAACCTCTACCTCAACAACATCATTCTGTTTACTCTATCCAACAATATACACAAAATAGTTCCCAAATCACCACACTAAAACGTAAAACGTAGGTCTACCTCTTACTAGCTTGGGACATTTGGCAAATAATGTAACCTCCTTGGAATTGGTATTCTTACATAAAAATTAAATATAATGATGGAACCTACCTTCTAGAGTTGTTATAAATATTAAATATGTTAAAATATGTAAAGCACTTAGAACAATGTTTGATATTTATTGTATCACTTTTTACTCTTGCAACCATGGTTTATTTTCTGAGTCTTTGCATATAAAAAATAATTTTCTGTCAAACTTGTTCTATGCTGCTTATGTAATTTATATGCCAAAGCTCTGTATAATAATTTATATTTATAATATAAATAATAATAATAATTAAGTAGCATTTACTAGCTGTTTACCATAGGACAGTCACTTGCCAAGTCCTTTATGTACCTTATCTCATATAAGCCTCAGAACAACTCTATGATGTATTAAAATTATCCCTAGTTTACAGGTGAATAAAAGCAAAGAAGAATGAAGTAACTTTCTTACTGGCAGGTTTAATGTGGCAAAGATATGTCTCATAACCACCTGTTTGCTATCTCTGTGTATATTGATATAAAATATTGTTGGTTTTTTCCTACTTGGATATTTACAAGGATTTTTTTCCCCTACTAAATGCAAAAGAATCTCCCAGGATGCATTTAGTTACTGGTATCATTTAGTTGTTATCGACCAATATTAAATGAAAACATATCTGATGATCAAGTTTATTTTTATCTCTTCACCCCAATAAAAAGTCTTCCATTACATTTTTCCTTCCTCCTTTATTGTCTACCTGCCACTTTATTTATGAAATTTCAACTCTCCTGTATTAGACATCTAGAATCTTTGATACACATCTGTTACTTACTTGGCATAATTTTTATCTTTTCATGCTTTTGCTCCAAATATTAGGAGAACTTCTCAATCTCTTGCTCCCATCTCACCTTAGGTTTAATTTTCTACCTTCAATAAATTCAATACATTTTTATGACAAGTATATATTTCTTCTTTTTAGATTTTGCTGTTTGCTTGTATGCTTGCTATAGCTTTATCCATTCTGTGGCTCTTATACATTATGAATTTTAGAATTAAAAAAAATGTGTTAAATGATTCTCCTTCTTTTGCAGTAGCACTATTTTGATAGGTCGCCTCATTCTGAGTCCTTAGATTGATCTTTTGATTTTGACAGCTTGTTCTTTTCATATGGTTTTATTCTTAAGAAGAATGATCTACAGGGGGCTGGCCCAGTGGCATAGTGGTTGGTTCGTGCACTCTGCTTTGGCGGCCTGGGGTTAGCAGGTTTGGATCCCGGGCGTGGACCTATGCATCGCTCATCAATCATGCTGTGGTGGTTCATATACAAAATAGAGGAGGATTGGCACAGATGTTAGCTCAGGTCCAATCTTCCTCAAAAAAAAAAAAAATGATCTACATACTCAGTACCTGGGCTATAGATTTGTTCCATCAGAACTTACGTATTTTCATATGCAAATCTTTCATACACAGACAACTGAAAAGAAAAATGTTTAGATTTCTAATTTTATTTGGCTGATTTACCAATACTCATTCTCAAGGGAGACCTTATAGTGTGAGCAAGTGTTGGTAGTCGTTTCCAACACTACAGAAAAGATGCTATTGTTCCTGTTTATTGTGGCTGTTTTGCTGATCTCCGCTACCATGTTAGTGATGTTCTACTTCAGCTTCCTTCCATCTTCTCTCTAGATGAATTTTTCTTTCTTATACATAGAATCCTAAGCTATTCACCTTTTCTCTCATCCAGTCTTGCCAAAATATCACGAGGAAGTACTCTCAAGATTCTTGCATACACGTGGCAATACTTGCATATGTATGGTACCCTTTATTAGTTTCTTTCAGTATTATAGATTTTTTAAACTATAATTATTATCCTTCCTCCTTGTCTGAAAATATTTGGAAACTTGGTGAATTGAAATTATTTTTTGATCACATATTTGGTCCTAAAGTCAACATAAATTCTATATTTTTTTAAATATATAGTTTGATTGAATATTTAATATCTGCGTATTATAACGATGTTGAGTCAGTCAATGTTCCTGGTCACCAAGAACAGAACAAATATCAGATATTGAATAAACAAAGGAATTAACTAGTCCTAAGGCCCAAGAACCAGGGCAGGAGAAGATGGATATCCTGCTTAGGCAGAGAGCAAATTTGTCCTCTCTCCACTCTTTTAATTCTATTCAGGCCCTCAATGGATTGGATGATGCCCACTTACATTGGTGAGGGCAATCTTTGCAATCTTCTTTACTTAGTTTCTGGACTAAAATGCTAATCTCATCTAGAAATACCCTCACAGACACATCCAAAATAATGTTTTACCAGCTCTCTGAGCATCCCTTAGCCCAGTCAATTTGACACATATAATTAACCATGACAGCATGGAATGGCAGAGATTATTGCCACAGTTAAAGATTTATAGGATGTAGGAATCATGGTACCTATCATATGTACATCTAGTTCATTAGTGTTCTTCCTGCAAAAGTCAGAGTTTTTGGCAAACTCTCGTGTGAGAGTTGCAGTACAGATCTCCAGGGTTCTGAAGTAAGACATACTGTGGCAGAATATATTCATAGCTCAAAAAGAGGCTCCTGACCTACCAAGCCAGTAGAGACTGAGCATCTCTCACTATGCAGCATCAAATGACAATATGAGCTGATCATCATGACTGGGGACTCTCAGATCCACCAAGCCATAAGTTTTGGTGGACTTAGCAGCAGGAATCTAATGTTAAGTGGTAATAGATTCAGGATCAGTCAGAACAGGTGCAAAGGTCATGAGTGAGTTAACACTTGTTATTGACCTCTGTAGCACTAAAGCTTTTCATAAGCTCACTTCTATAGCCCCATGGGGGCATTCATATGACCAAATGGCAGAGCAAGAATATATCCAGGCTCAATTTGTTGGCATTAGCTGAAAATGGACTACTGTTGCACTACTACCCTGCCAAGAATGGCTCTGAGAGAGAATAGTCAGGGAAAATATTCCCAGTGGACAGAACTTTAATGCAGCACACTTGATCATTAGTTTTATGTGGAGGGAGATATGGTCTGAGGTAAGAGTATACAAAGACATCTGGACAGTTACTAAT